CTTACTTTCTAAAATTTCAAAGATAGGCTTCATATAATATGTCTGATTCGGAAATATTCCTTTTGTTTTAGATGTCTGCTGATTTTACCACGACCAAACATCATCACTGCCTATGAAAATTTGCTGAAAAAGCATTGAGGTTATGTTTGTTTAATTATGAGATAAACTTTCAAAGAGACACGCCCCGTAATAATGTAGTTATAACTGCCCTTCTAGTAGCTACATGGCGCATTTACATGGAGGGATCGGGAAAGAACCATTCATGGACAGGAGGTCCAACAACATTGAGGCAAACCTAGAAGAGGGAAAATCTTTTGAGTTCTTTATACTGCCATGGTCATAGTAGCTGAGCAAAAACTATGGGTCAGAGTTTAGATCAGTGAGGAAAAATGTTATTTCAATTTGAAATATTGAAATTAAAGTTTTTCTCATGTAGGATTTAAAAATTCTGACTTTGCACCCTCCAGTGATCATACCTAGGTCTAGGGTTTTGGTCACAGTTGTGCGCACATAAATGTAAAATGTTAACTACCTAGTTGAGTAAGTATAAAGTATAACGTAAAGTCATTTTCTGCTCATCCATAAATGGATAAAAATGAGATAAATTTTCAACCTCTACCAAAGGATCAAACATTGTCCAGGTGATAAAATGAAACGTCCATCTGGATTCTTTTCCTGATGTTCACTTATGTATAAATCCTGGTATTGTTGTCCTGGTCCCGGTCTTCAGCTCACAGCGGCCTGTTGAAGCCTGTTGAAGCTCGTTGCTGTGAGACAGCCCATCACTTTGGCTCGTGACCACTTGGCCACTCGTGGTCCTTGCGGACCCTGTTGGTAATGAGCGCTTGTTAATCCTTCTGTCACTATCTCCTCCAGGCAGACGGCCATTTGCAAGTTGCCAGTGTTGATTAGTGACACACTCCCACGTGGTCCAGTTCAATTCAGCTCGTAGAAAAAAGAGCTTAAGATAGCAGAGGCACTGACACCAGTGTCTAAGCTCGTGACCTAGACAATTGGCACCCGGCGTGGTGTAACGACCTTCTTTCAGTAGCACTTGGCAGTCATTAGTGGACTTCAATACTCCCTACAGCCTCGTTGTGACGTTTGACTGAGAGCCAGACATCTCCTTCCTCAGACTCGCATCTTCAAACCTAGAAATGTACTTGTGAAATCATTCGCTTGCGGTTGGTTCCCCCGGGAGAAGCCAGGGTCCTGTCTTGTCTGTGGATGTTTTAAAAAGGTCTGGCACACTTTCAAAGACAACGCAAAGTTGTTGAAACAGGAAGTCGGAGACAAACACAACGTCGCTTCCTCTCCGAGGGGGTTTGTCTGGGCAGCGAATCAAGCAGCGTCCAGTACCGACAGAAGAGCATTTTGCACGGTCAGCAAAGAAGTTGTTCGCTCCATTATCTCTGGTTGGTCATGGAGGAGTGCTACACACACACACACACACACACACACACTTCACACTGCAGCCAAATAAACCCAAGTCATGTACTGTGACCTAAAAGATCAGTTCAGATCCCAAACCAGTTCCAATTTGGTCCTAAATTCTTCAGCCGGGACAAAAAAAACCCTCTACAAACGGGGACGTAGGTGCTTTCTCAAATCTCCCTCACCCACATCACAGAGTTCACCGCAGTCAGCTCCATTCGCAGCATTGTGGAGGGGGCGACGCTTGATTTAACCTCGAAATGGGGCGGAAAACTAACTGACGCCGAGGTACAATGGGAATGGCACGAGAGTGGGGACGTCAGTTTGGATTAGCGGACGAGTCGTCCGGTGGAGGCCTGGCATGGGAGATGGGAGATGGCAGGGCTGGCACAGGGCTATCAGACATGCTTCAAGACATGGAGAGCTGTACTCCACGTGCACCGCATCCATTTGGCTGCAACTTCTTTTCCCCCTCTCCTCTCTCACGGTGTAGTCGCACACATCACCAGTTGTAAGAGATGCAAACACTTTAAAAGGCTCCAGGGAGGAGCCAGAACATGAGGTTGGCATTATATATATGAGGGAGGCAAGGAAATTAATTTCAAAATAAAACAGGAAATCATAAATATAAGGACCAAACAGTAATTTCAGGGGCAGATCATGGCAAATATATTGTTGAGTTACTAACTTTATGTAATAATAATACAAATAATAATAATAATAATAATGTAGAACAGCAAAAAAGTCAGTTTTTCTTCCTGTTTTTTCCAACAGGTGCATGACGGGAAATAATCTCAAAGGACTCAAGTCCTGGAAACAGTGACTATGCAAGATCCCCAGTTTTTACGGAGTCTTACAGTTGGCTTCAGATGTGAGCTGGTGTCAGACTTTAGTCTTAGAAGTCTTTTGCAGACATGAAGGTGCGAGGGGCTGGGAGAGTAAGGTTAAAACTGCCACTGGACATATAAACATTTCAGGATATGACCCGTGTTGAGAGCAGACTCTCAGACCTCAGTAAAGACAAGTTAACTTAACTTTCAGACAGCTCGCCTCGTCCTTGTGATGCTGCTGTAAGTTCCTCTCCTCCCCACTGTTTCTCACTACAGCATGAAATTACAGTCAGTGTACACCCACTCCCCTGGGCTGCTGCTGCTCACCGTACAGAGAGCGATGTTGCTAATCGGTGACTTTGTTCTGAAGCAGCCTGAGAGTGCAGGACGACATTCATTAGCCTACATTTACTGAGCTGTGTCACTGAACCTTCCTACAAAATATGATTTAAGTATGTATACATATAGTATAAAGGTAAATATCCATGTGTAGTTTGATTATGAAGCAGATCCAGGTTCTATATTAATACTGTGAAAGTATCAAAGCCTCAGTCCACAGACAAATGCACACAGCCTGTATTCAGAAACTGAGCCTTAAAACCAGCCGTCAGGACTTCCTGAACTTTGTGATGTCACAACAAAGAAGTTACCACCCTCAGCCATGCTCCAAGCCCCGCCCACCTTGGCCACACCATTCTAACTTTGCAGGATTTAGTTTCTCTGAGGGTTTACCTGAAATCTACTCTATTTTTTATTGGATCACTCAGAAAGCAGTCAGCCAATCAGAAGAGAGGCTCAGAGCCTCCTCTCCGCTGATTGGCTCACCAACCTGTTGTTATTAGAGCTCCAGAAAGAAGCCTGAGAGAGGAGCTGTAAAACTACATTGAGATGGTTTTTGGTTCTTAAAACCACAAATATATCTTTTTATGAATATCAAACCTTCAAAATAAAGCAGACCTTTAAACATTATAACATTATAACTATTGATATTTTCATTTTTTTCTAGTTCAGGAAGTGTTACACTCTAAGAAGTCACACAGGGTGGATGCTTATACACCAAGGTCAAGTCCTTGGCAATATTTCTAGGAATTTTCAGCATTTCCCTGATCTAACATGTGTGTTATGTGTGAATGATGTTGCTGATGAATGCTGTGTCTGTTGGTGGTTGCATACCTGCTCATTAAAACAAGGTACACATTTTTGGTCTGCCGGTGACACAACTTGTTCTTTTCAAATTTTGATATTTCACCAAAGCAAACTCTCATCTGACAGATCGCAATCTGACAGGCGAAGCTTATCTTTGGTTTAAGTCTGCTCAGTGCTTCAGGCTTTAATAATAAAACTCACAGTCTGAGTGATTCATATTAGCATGCCGCAGGAGTTATTGTTACCTGAGAGAGAGATGTTAAAGTGGATGAGATTCTCTTACTCGCTTCAGCGTTCTGTGGTAAGAGGAGCTGTCTGCCAGTGAAGTGTTTTACTCTTAATCAATCCAGAGAGATAGATTTGCCTTTAAATCTTCTTATTCATATCTGACTATGACTCTCACTCACACTTGTTGCCTTCGCTTCCACAGTGCCTGGAGCCCTGCAAAGAATCCTGGGAGATGAAGAGGAAAAGCAACTGCAGAGAGATGTGTGAGGTACGACGGATGAGGATCAGGAGTTTTTATCTTTATGTGGAACGACTGATTTAATATACAATCTATTAAAGGGGCTATATGCAAGTTTTGCTCCTGCTAAATAGCCAGCATTAGCATTAGCAGCTGTTTACTTACCAGTCTAGAAGAAACTAGTGGAAAGAAATACCAATGTTACCTCTTGTCTCTATCACGTCTGTTGATGTTAGCACGCTAACCACGCTAGCTGTACTCACTGTAGCCTCCAATCTGAGGCTGTAGCGCTAATTTTTTAGTTTCCTTATCTTAATATCTATTTGATGATCTTGACACATTCCAAACTCTCCCCTTGTTGTCATTAGAAATGAAATAAGTTACGCATGTTACTAACTGGTCTCTCTACAACCCGTCTAGCGGGTGTTTCCCAAGAAGCACTGGGAGTGCGTGACCAGCTGTGAGTTCCTCCAGTCGGTGCAGGTGATGAAGCAGGGCAGCTGCCCGCCTCCAGAGCGAGCCAGTGGCTTCGCGGCTGCATGTGTAGAGAGCTGCGACCACGACCGGGAGTGCTCGGCTCAGAAGAAGTGCTGCTCCAATGGCTGTGGCCACACCTGCCAGTCTCCCAAAGATCTCTACAAGGGTAAGTCAAGCGCAAACTGGTCTAACAGAAACACAGTAATTCAGCTGATCTAGTTAGGGTCATTAATTGTCAGTGACCATGGGCGTTGGTTTGGTTTAAACATTGGTAGGGACACAACAACCCCTTCAAAACAAAGAGTATATACTAGGTGTTGTGAGTCCTGTCAAACCAACAACAAAAATACCAACAAACAAATCATTATGTTAAAGAATAATGTATTTTGATGCAGAATCTGCACTTGTTTTACTGAAAAGGCATCATTATGCAGCTTGTTTGAGTGAATGCTATTTCATGCTAAAATGAGCAGCAAAATTAAGACTGCACCGACTAATCAACCAATGAAATTTTAAACATGTATCTTTAATTTTAAAATGTTCTATAATTGTTGTCAGAAAACAGCTGTATTATTTCATTTTTTAAGCATTGCTCACTCTGACGTACTCTAACTGCTATGAACTTCCTGTCAGCCTGAATAAGATGTCATCCCAGCCTCCCCTGGGCTTTTCCTCAGACAAATGAGGTGAGGTGGTCCAGGTGGAAAAATCTCTGGCTGACGCACAGCGAGCGGCGGCGTTGCTGCGAGTCTGAGTCAGGTGGAGCTTGGCCTACTTAGACCTCCATTGTCAGAGGAGGGATCAAAGCAGATCCAGAGAGCCTTCAGGCCTCACTGATGGTAACACGTGGTGTTAGAGGAAGGAACTTATTTTGCCTTTTTACACTGGGGCGCTGTCTAAAGCTATAAACCCAAGCAGCCCAGGGGACACTGAGCTGACATAGCGAATTCCAATCAGAGACGTCTCCTAGTTTCTCTAGACCTTTTCACCTTTGACAATCATGTGTGGTTTGTCAGGTGCTCCTCTGAAGCCAAGGAAGGAGCTGGGCTTTGAGGAGCTCTCCTCCGGTCTGCTGGAGGTGCGCTGGTCGTCCCGCTTCAACATTTCAGCCGACCCCGTGGTCTACGTCCTGCAGAGGAGGTGGAACTTTGGCATCCAGCCCAGCGAGGACGCCGCCACCTCCTGGCAGGTGGTTGCACAGGTTAGTTCCTGATTTATGACTTCAGCACAAATCCAGATCCATCAAGAAAGAACAGCTACAAAACATTTGCATGCACCTTGTCTGGATGTCAGTGGGTTCATGTCTTGTCTCTTTAATCCACCTCCACCTGAACCACCACAGACCACGGAACAGGGAGCAAGGCTGTCCGACACCCGGCCCGGACGCTGGTACCAGTTCAGAGTCGCGGCTGTCAACACACACGGGACCAGGGGTTTCACCACGCCCAGCAGGCACATCCATTCCAGCAGAGGTATAATACAGTGGCCATGAGATCTCAAAGCACTGCAACTTCAGAAAACACATGCAAAGACACAAACGTGCTGCAAATTCAGAAAACTTTTTCATCAATTTGACAACACAAGCACCGCAAATTCCTACAACACAACAGAAGCGGTAACTTCTGTTTACTCGGATAATAGATATTAGCACTCAAAGACAATGACAGTCCAATCAGAAATTAGAGTCCAATGGAGGCAAGGTGGTTCTGTTGCCTTCATCTCTGCGGCAGGTCCTTAAAGGTAGTCCTTACTAATGATTAAAGTTGCAGTAGTACACAACACGAGTGTGTAGTGTTGTAGGTTTTGTTGGATCACCATTAATCTCAGCATCAGTATGTAATAAAACTCCGCCCCCTCCACCTCAGACCCCTCCAGTCCTCCGGCTCCCACCGAGCTCCGAGTGGCCAACATGAGCTTTGGCCCCGGCAGGGCGGTGTCTGCCAGGCTCCAGTGGAGTGTGCCCGATGACCTGGATGTCCCCATCCACCACTACAAGGTCAGCTGGAGCTGGACTGGAGTTGGACAGTCCTCAGCTTCGTCCCTGACTAAGAGGAGGAAGACAGTGAGAGCGGTGAGGACCGATGGATGTTACAGTGCTCTGAAAATGCTCTCTCGACAAGGCTACACATGACTAAATGTCTTTGTGTGTGTGTGTGTTCAGAGCCAGGTGGAGCTGGACAGCATGCGGTCTAACAGGAGCTACAGCGTGGAGGTCCAGGCTGTGTCCTACTGGGGACAAACACAGCTCAAAGGGCCCCGAGCCGTCCTGCACTTCACCACGCAGCGCGGTACGTCTCTCTGCACAATCACACTGCAGACTTTGGTCTTTAAAACAGCTGCAAGTTCAAGTTGCACTAAATGGTTTTTGAAAATGCTTTTGTATGATCTTTAAATTTTCTTTTCATGGTGATTTTTTTTTTTTTTTTTTAAAGCTCCTTTGGGGTTTAAATATCTTAAAGTGCATCGTTAAATGTTTGATCCCCAGAGCTGAAAAATCTTTTAACTTTAATTCAAAATGTCATGGTGTTCTTTGAAAATAACAGGCTGACATTATGAAGAAGAAAAAAAGAACAATTACAGAAAGAAATGTTTGACGATCATTATCATCATTATTAACATCATGATAAATGTTAGTGCCCACTTCTCTCCTTGCTGGTTGCACAGATGTTTTCTGTATATAAGCATTTTGGTCCAGAGAACGATTTGCATGACTGTTTGTGTAGATGTTCATGATCCCCAGGAGATGATTCATTCATGGTAACTTGACTTGACCGCCACAAACCACGCTGCTGCTTTTCAAGGTCTCCAAAGAACACATCCTCAGTAGTTTTGATTACGCCCTGACCTTCCCCCTGCCTCCACCATTAAAAATTCCACACCCTTTAATTTGTGAGCAAAGTCCTGCTCACGAGAGGAAGAACAAGTGTCATTTTGTCTGGTTAAATGAGCTATTTGTACATTTTGCTATTTTTTTGCAAGCTAAAAGTGGCATACAAATAAAGCTTCTTCTTCTTCTTCTTACTGTAATTCTGTCTTCTACATTCTCACTAATGTAGCTGTCATGGCAGCAAATAAGCATCTTTATTTTGGTAAAGATACCAATGATTATAATGGAGAGTAATTCTGAGGTCAATGATCTCTCAATGTCACCAGAGGTCAGGTCCAAATTTCCTTGATGTCTGAAATCAAACCTTGGGGTTTTAGAATATATTCTGAAACGTTCATGCTTTAGTAATTAAGTGCACACAGTTTGTTTGCTACGTTAATTATATTTTGTCTGTTCTGAAGCCGCCGGTTCAGCTCCCAGCAAACCTGCAGGCGACACTCTGGACGTGGGGACGCCATTCTACCAGGACGGACAACTCCGGGTTCATGTCTACTGGCAGAGCAGCACCGGTACGTACTATATGTTGCTTGGAGGTGGTTTACCTGCTGAAAACCAAACACAAACATGTCTACTGTGATAGCGCTCTGCTAGCTGCCCACTAGCATCATTCAAGCATGGTCAGTATATACCGCACCTGAGCTGAAATATTTCTGGATTGGCTGTAATGAAATTTTGTCGACGTGTTGCGGTCCTCAGATGATGAATCCTATTGGCTGTGGTTATCCCATGACTTCCTTTAGTACCAACATGAATCTGACATTTGTTGGCTGCCTCATGGAGCCACTAGCATCCCTGTTATCATCATCCCTGGATGTCTACTAGCGTTTAATATACAATGTTAGACACTGGATTGATACTTAAGACTTAATTAGGTTTACAAAGACAATGAACAAAAGGACAAAAAAATGGAATTTATATCAGACTTATTTTTTGACTCTGGGTAAAATGGGACATAGGGATAATTGAGATGGGGTTTTTCTACAGACTCCTCCTTTAAGTACAACCCTTCACTGTTTCAGAGCTGCTGTTTCAGGACAGTGTTGTAAGCTCTTGTTGTTTGTGTAGATCCTTCGGTAGAATTCTACAGAATCCAATGGGGACCAGAGTACTGTGCGCACAACCAGACCAGACCCCTGGAGAAGACGAGCACACAGGTAACCCATACAGAGCCTGTCACTGTGAACATGAATTTCAAGTAAATGAAGTAAAATGTACATGATCAGCCCAGAGAGCATATACAGTACATGGCTGATTGGCAAATGTGGCCACCGTTAACTACTGTAATCTGAGCTCCGGCATTTTGGGAATCACCTTCCAGTCAGCCATGATTGTTTTCTGTCTCTGATCCAGGAGAGCTTTGTGAGCCTGCAGGGTTTGCTCTTCGCCTGTAAGTATAAAGTCCTCCTGCAGCCGGTCAGCAAAAGGGGTCGTCCTCTGGCAGAAAGCACCAGCTTCTTCACTCCCTCCTGTGCCGCCATCCAGAACAAAAGTCCAAAAGCTATCACCTGTCCTGGAGAAACAGGTGAGATGGTGGGAATACCTGAAAAGCTTCACCAAGGTGGTTTAAAGCTGCATCATATCACATAGATACATTAAGATTATCTAAGTTAAAAACAAATTTTCCATTACCAGCAGTTGATATAAAATGAATAAAATGAGTCTTTAGCTAAAGCAGCTACTTCATACACTTCATACACTGTTTACAACCCAACTACACCTATGTAACATATTAAAACATAGTTAATATAGGCTTTAGGCTAAAGGGAGAAGGGTACGCAAGGGTAGCACAAAGACTGGAAATGGGGAACTAGATATTATGGCTTTTTCCAAAAGGTTGCAAAGTCTGGTTGGATGACAGGGATTTATCAGTGATGTGTCCCTCTTTCCAGTCTTTGTGCTAAGCTAAGCTAAGCTAAGCTAAACTAAGTTATCAACAAACATGCGTATTTTCCAAAATGTCAAACTTTTCAAAAATCAATTAAGAAAATGTATTAATGCAATAAAATGTTTATCTGACTAGTAGTTAAATGTATAAAACATTTTGATAAATGTAACATTTTAAATAAATACAGGAATTTTGCTCCAAAGTAAAGTTAATAATTTGAAGCTTTACATTTGTAATAACAGAGAACAGCAAAGTTGAATGATGTTGAAATGGAAAAGAAACCGTCCGATTTGTCTTCGTCCTTGGCAGTCAGTTCGTGCCTCTGGCCTCCTGTGAGCTTCCTCATGTGGATCATGAACGTGTCCTAACAACTCACTCACCACCCCAGCACCACATGTCTTTATTTAACTGCCCACCTCCGGCTCTGCTTCCTTCAGCAGTGTCCCCTCAGAAGGTCCTGGTGAAGGCAGCCAACCTGACGGCGTCCTTCGAGGTCCTGGGAGGAAACGTGACGGCCATCTTCAGCTGGGATTTGTCTAGGGTCCCGCTCCACCCGCAGCTGACTGGTTACCAGGTGACCTGGGCCGAGGTCATCCCTACTAACCGCCACAACAACAATAACAACAAGTTGCCCCACAGCCTCATCTCCCAGTCCCAGATTCTCCCCCCGGTCAGTGTTGGTATAAACTGCAGTCGTTACTGTTTGCCCAGTAAGAAAACTGGGATACGCACTGGTGGTACTACTTTATAAATTACACATAGATTAGAGAACAGGCTGTAGCTACTATTAAGGACACTATTTGAGGGTGTATTTCCCAGTATGAAAAAATATGAAATTTGACTTTTTTCACATTTCCTTATAACTGATGCTTATAATTTCACTCTGACTCTTAAACACACATACAGTAAATACATGAAGGATAATCAAATTCCCATTTTCCCTCAATCAAATGACACAGTAATTATGAACCTTCTTAATTTATTATATTTCTTAATTATTATAGGTATATGTCATCATATTCTACATTTGAAAAAATTACACATTTCAGTAAATATTAAATATATTTGCATTTGAATTTTTGAAATTATACAGTAGATTTAGATGTATATAAAATTTACATAAAATGATATATTAAAATTAAAAGACATTTTTTGTAGGCAAACAACATAAAAAGAAAATCACAATTTCCCAGCCAGAATCTGGCTTTATAAAGAATATAAATGTATGAAATATATTTTAGATACATAAAATTATATTCTAAGAGAATATAATATAATACATAAGAATATAAATATGTAAAATATATTAGAATATTATATATTTACAAGAAAATATTTACAATATGTATTTATGAGAAATATATATATTTAACAAGCTCTGAACATTTAAAATACTCAAAATTTGGTATTAAAGAAGATATTTGATGTAAAAATTTAATAGTAAAATGAAAATGGCAAAAAAAAAATTATTGAAATAATGGAACAGCTTCCATGAACAGCTTCCTTTTTCTCAGTGCCTCATTCCATTTTAGAAAAGTCATTTCACTGTCGATTTCTTTCTGTTTTAACATTTTTTAAAAACTAGCAGTACGGTGTAATACCGTGTTCTCTGTTATTTTCCCTCTGGCTGAAATTGTTCTTTGTGAAATATTTTACTTTTAATGCAGATTCAGATTTCCCCTGCAGACAAATCTCAGGGTCCGCTGGGCTGACAAACACTTTGAAAACCTGTGCAGTCTACAGCTTCCTTACAATTTCACACACCTTGAGCATTTTAAACCTCTTCCCTCACTGCATTTGTCTTCCTCCTCTTTTGCAGGATGGTAATGTGCTGGTGGTGTCAGGCCTGCACCCTGCCAGTCTGTACAGGCTGGAGGTCCAGGCCATCACAGCAGAGGGTGAAGGTCCTGCAACCAGCCGGACCTTCCAGACTCCTGGATACCAAAGTGCCACAAAGCACAGTAAGAAAAAACAACAACAAAAAGTCTCACACTGAAGTAAACAGAGGAATATGACTTAAGTTTTTTGTGGGAGGCGTACAAGACAAGATGGCTCTAACCATCAAAGTTTCTTCTTCTGCACTTTGTTTTCAGCAGATCAGCTGATAACTAATTACATGTCTCCCTTCATTCAGGATCCAAGCTGAGGAAGCATCACCACAAGCAGCCAATCATGGAGAGGCACTGAACCCAGACAGCCAACCAGCCTGCATGAACCAAGTCCCCCAACCTCAGGATAATCAATAATCCACAGCATCACCAGCTTCATGGTCCAGATCAATTCTCCATCACAACCAATGTTAAAGCTGCTACACATACTGATGTCAATGAAACCATCACTGACAAACTGGCAACCTTCACTTCTCTCATGTATACAGTATAGTCATATTAAACAGGAACCGTAACTATACTATGACCATGGTCAACCATGGTCTCAGCAATACAGAGGAATCACAGTTAATAATCACAGTTCATCCGCTGCGTCGCTCTGAAACAGCAGTGAAGTTTTATGCAACTTGTTTTCCTTTGACTCCCAGCTGAGAGATAGATCTCAGCACTTGTTTGTGACATGTAGGTGATTAGAAGCATTATAATAGCATGTAGATACAGTAGCTATACCACTTTTATTCACTGTAGGGCTGGGTATGGGTATACCATTAGTACTAATTCATTTGAGTACTGAATAGGTTTTCAGACAGACAATTAGCCAAAAGTTCTTCTCAAAGGTCCCATTTGTGATTGGTGCTGTCAGTGCTCTTTACTCCTGATAAGCACAGTTCATAGAGATGCAGCTGTTTGTATCAAAGACGATGTAGTGACGATGATACCAAAGGTGGGGCAGACATCTTAGACAGAAGACAATAGGCGTGGGTGATATCCAAAATTTAATATCGTGGGTTGGGGGAGTTATGATATAATTATGTTGTTGTATGTTATGTTATTTGTCACATGCCAAGGTACAATGTACAGTAAGCAATATTAATAAAAATATCACATATGTGGGAAATTATGATATTTGATATATCATCAAATATCCCGATTTTGAATAGTGCGATATCAAATACTAAATACGGCGATATTTGATATTATACAATATTGCGATATTATCAAATATATATAGTGATATTTGATATTATAGAATATCGTGATATTCTATATGATCAAATGTAATCACATTTGATCAAATATTGGGATATTATCAAATATCAAATATCGCGTGTCAGATCAACTAAACAGGGGGTTCATAACAATTTAGTTTACATTAAGAAAATTACAATTTCAACCTGAATAAATTAATCTGATTTTCCATTTACCTTTCTGTTGCGCTGACACAATTCACTCCCTCCTGGAGAAGTAATGCGGTTTGATACCCAGCCCTAACTCCCTGCTGCATGCCAACACCTAGCTGTTTATAGTGTTGTCAGTGTCATTGAATGGTCCCTGAAAGATTACTCCCTGCAGCCGATTTACTGACGCAACTCTTGTCTGTTTGTTTGTAAATGACACTTAGCTCCTCTGTACTCTGTAAATGCTGTATATACTGTCTGTCTGTATTTATTAGTTGTGGTATATTTGTGCGTGGATGAGTGTGTACTGTAAACATAACCGGTGTACTGTGTGTGTGCTCAGCCTTTTGTAAACCTCTAGAGACCCTGTACAAAGATGTTTTTTAACTGAAGATAAATTCCATGTCAATTTGTGTACAGCCTATTTTGCACATGTGCAGTTTTTCATTTATTTCTTGATCCTCTTTTCCTGCTCCATCAACAGCATTTTTTTTTCTTTAGTATGCTGTAGTGACCTTTGTCCACTGAGAGGATTTATAATGATGGTATAGCTGAGGCGGAGTTCCTGTGGGGGGGGGACTCTAATTCTTCCTCCATTATTCTGGAGTTGGTGTGCAAACAAAAGGTTTGAAGCAACCCCTGGGGATACGGTGTGTGGAAATAAGGATGAGTGCTCTCTTACACACACACACACACATGGCTCAGCAATGATTGCATCACGCCACATTCCTATGCATAACCACACACTGATTGTCTTTCGGATGGAGGGTGTGTGTCACATCGACACAAGACATTTTCTCCACTCTCCTCAAACACATAGTTGCTCTTATCCTCAGCCATGTTTGGTCGCCCTAACGCTCGGTGTTTGTTAATGAGGCTCAGATGAAGTGTATCGCTGTGATGGAGGAGTGTGTGATGGAGATGGCTGCGCACAGGCGCTCTGCAGGTAGTGTATCTGGATGAGGAATAACTCAGCCTGGAGCATAGAAAACATGTTTACCAAGGATTTATAACCATTTCAAACCTAGACCTCTGAAAGTCCATGACCCTCTCTGTGGTCTTGGAGGTGTTCAGAAGGAGGCAGTTCTTGTCACTCCAGTCAGTGAAGGCCATCGTCAGATCCCTGTACTCCTTTTCCTGCCCATACCTGATACATGCCACAATAGCTGTGTCATCCATATTTCTGGATGTGGCAGGATAATAATGTTATTTTGCCAAAAGCCACATAAATTGCAGCATAAGGCCCAAACCTGATTTTGTTTTTATGCTACCACTTCCAAAGGTTAACACTGAACCTTTAAACTAATTAAATAAGGTTTTATTTCTAAGCTCTGTCTTTGATGAGCGATTCAGGTTGTGTTTTAGGAGAATTGCCTATAAATAATTTACCATTTATCTGAATTAGTAAACTGTTTTCAGGCCTTAAAACTGGAGTCTTCCACACAAGCTCCACTGAGAAGGTGGGGCAGTTTGTATGTTGCCTGAGAGACAAAATCTAGGGTAATAATTACAGCAAGTTGCTGGCTACTCATCAGGAAGTAATGTCCTTTGTTGCAGCAAAACACATTATCATCAAGGAGCAACCTCCAGGGCTGAAAACTGAAGCCAAAACCTGCAGTTCCCCAATGACCACTATAGTCTAGCTCCAACAGTGAGTCAGTCCCATTGACTCCCATGTTAAAATGTTCAACTTTACAGCAGAAATAAACATGTTGCTTCTATTTTTATCACTTCTTTTCTTCTACTGAAGGTCCCATGCTAACTTGCTAGCTGAGGCTTGGTCAGCCTGCCTTGTCACTTTCCGATACTGAGTCAGTACAGTGTCCATTCTGCTCTGAAGAAGTAGCAGCTCGTATTATAACCTCTCGTATTGTAAATGCAACGATGGCTGAAGCTCTCAGCTGGTAATTAAACAGCTGCTAGTGCTAATATTAGCTATGTAGCAATTGCAAAACATACATATAGCTCCTTTAAGAAACCTATGGTTGATGTCACAGAGGGTAGCCTATTGCCATCTTTATTTACAGACTATGATTATCATGGTCTGTCAGAAACAGAGCTGTAGGGTAGTCCAAGCCTTTCAGGGATGACTAACTATTATAATGGATTTGAAGAAACTTGCTAGCCAAGCAACATTAAAGGTCCAAATTTTCCACTTCTCCGGTGTTTTATTTTGAAGTGTTGATCCATAAGAAGATATATTTGTGGTTCTAAGAATCAATAACCATCTTAATGTAGTTTTACATCTCCTCTCTCAGGCTTCTCTCTGGAGCTCTAGTAACAACAGGCTGGTGAGCTAATCAGAAGAGAAGAGGCTCTGAGCCTCTCTTCTGATTGGCTGACTGTTTTCTAAGTGATTGAATGAAAATACCACACTCAGAGAAACCAAATTCTGTAAGGTTTGGGTGGTAGGTCCAGGTGGGCGGAGCTTGACATCACAAAGTTCCGGAATCCTGATTTCCCATTTTAAGGCTCAGTTTCTGAACACAGGCTGTGTGCATTTTTCTGTGGACTGAGCTCTTTGATACTTTCACAGTATTAATATAGAACCTAGACCTGCTTTATAATCAAACAACACATGGACATCTTCCTGTATATTATATGAGACCTTTAAAGAAATCACTACTGTAAACAACAGACATCAGGACAAGGGAACAGGAAGTTCTAAAATGCTAACTAGTTTCTGGGTTTCAAGACATACTGGTCTTTTTATGCACTTGTTGATCGTCATTGTGTGGGAAAAACAAAACACTGATGCAGAGTCAGGGTTGCTGTCCTCTGCATAACACACTTTTATGACCCATGGTGCACAAAGACGGAACTATTCAACGTAAGCATTTACAAATAAATCTCACAAGGGAAAGAGTTCAGAGATCTTAGAGCACTTTTGTAATACACAATGCTCCCACTTTTCTAACCCCCCCACCCCTGCTAAAAATTTTCTTACAGTTCCCAACATAAAGAATCTACAAGTCAAGCTAAGTGAAACCATTTGGGTGGCTTGTTGAGGGCCAGACAATATTTTTTAAAAGCAATGAATCATTTAAAAATACATATTTGAATTAATAGGTGAACATGAGAACACACTCATAAAACAGTCACCACAGCTTCAACATAAATAATATCACTATTGCCTCTTCGTAAAGAGCAACAGAAGTTCACTGACTTCAGATATGAATGAACACACAGCCCTGGTCCTGTGATAGTTGTGGGTGTGTCACATTGTTTGCCATAACTTTCCGGGTCACTCGCACAGAAAATGTGTGTTTCATTTTCTGCATCCTTAAATGATTGTGCACCAGAGACGGTTTTTGAAATATTGCACAACTCATGCATGGACTCAGCTCAGAGCATTCAGAAGTACCCCCCCACCTCCTCTCCCTCCCCTTCCCTTCCCCTCCCCAGACACTCAGAGAAGTTGGCCTCGGTCGAGAGGACTCGCTCAGGGAGAAAAAAATTGGAGTCTTGATGTGTTAAACATCAAAGGCAGTGTGTTATTTTCTCCTTGAAATGGGCCGTGTGAAACGTGCATTTAAAGGAATGGGAATGAGACGGCGGCCTGCTGTGCGCTGGCCGGTGTGAGGCCGGGCGGGAAATGTTTTATGTCTATATATGTTTGTTAGAAATGCATTCTTTTGATTATGACTCTGCACTTTAATCTGATCGCACACATCTGTCGGAAGCCCTCACCCTGCATCCACCCCTCCTTTCATTCAGTTAGCATTCTGTGGTCACCATTATTATTGATAACAATATTCAAAATATGTGTAATGCATGAAAGGAATTTGTTTTAGCTCTCCTCACATCATGATTTTATTGATTATATGACACGCAGGCGCTGCCTCATTGTGAACGTCCTGCACTTGTCTTTACTTATTTAGTGGTGGTGTAAATGGTTCACAAGGACACACCAGGACAAAGAGATTTGATGATGAATTCTTGGCTCCTAATAAGCGAGAAGACCTTGAAATGGAAATGTAATTTCCAATTACATTTGATGGACTTTGGCCTGCCCTGTGAAGTCCCCTCTCACCCTGTTTATCTGTGTCTCTGTGCT